AACTTAAATATTTAGATTGCAACTTAAATATTTAGATTGCAACTTAAATATTTAACTTAAATATTTAGCTAGCTAAGCTAAACATTTAAGTTAAATAGTTAAGCGTTAATGTGGTAATTGAGGTGCAACACTGAGTATTTCTTGTTTCTTCTCAGTTTCATCAGTAGTGATTAATGACAGAAATGTGTTCGTCACAGACGTTTGTGGGTTTTGGTCACATTTTTAACTTGAAGCAGCACAACTGTACTGATTTTTGMTGAAGTAGTTAGTCTTTTGGTTTGTTTGTCATTTTAATGTAAAAAATGTTAAAATATTATCATGACAAAACAATCTTCATGATACAATATTAAGAATAATAAATTATTATTTGAGACACTGTAATATCATGAAATTTAATTTATAAATCTTTATTTTTCAGCTTGTGTTATTTGTGACATTTTTGAATTTCCAATGTTCTTTACCTGATTTAGTCTTGTTTTAGTAGAGGCAGGTAGATGACWGTGATTAGTTTATTAACTTCACGTTGAGGTGAATTTTACAGCTAAAATCAACCTTTACCTCCTCCCTCCCTGCAGACCCCGCCTGTCCAGGTATGACTCCTCCACTGATTGGTCGTTGATGAGCCATGTGACCACGGTGGACTCTGCCACCTGACACTCAGTGAGCACCTGACACATCAGCTCCAGTCTTGACCCTGTTAGACAACATTTGATCCTTTACGTCAGAGTGTTTTACAGGATATTAGCACAAAACTTGATATTTTAGGACAAAGTTGTTSCCAACGTACCGTGTAGACTTTCAAAAATGGTTCCATTAATGGGTGAGACAATCACTGGTGGTCCGACTTTAGAACACAAGACGTAAAGCAAAAACTTTAGAAACAAAGTTTCCTTCTTTCTAATGAAATGTGAAATGTTTTGGAAGAAAACAAGCAAACAAAGCATGAAGACCACTCACTGGTGGCAGTACTCATGGTGCTGCTGCTGTGAAGATCGGCCTCTGGTGTCGATGAGTCTTTAGAGACGGTGGGAGTGGATGTAGGGTCTGTGCCTGCACATAAAACACAACTTTTTATTAGTATTCAGTAGAAACAACTACTGCCAGGCACATTTCAGGTCCTTCATTTTGGATAATAATTTGTTGTRTGRGGCTTTGCAAAGATTGTGTAGTTCATAGGTTTGTCCAGCAGAGGGCAGGACACACCAGAGAGTCATGATAGAAATGAAACTAACGTTTTCTTTTATTGTATAAAAATAAATCTACTTTACACACTCACATTTGTTCAAATAAATACTATAAAAGTGTAGGTGAAGAGGTAGGGCAGCCTGAAAGTCACAGGTTTGATTCCCTACCATGTCCAACCGTATGTTGTAGTCAGAGTTGTAAAGTACTTCTTTACTGTACTTAAGTAGAAWTTTTGGGTATCTGTACTTTACTTGAGTAATTATTTTTCAGCGTACTTTTACTCCTTACATTTTTAAAAAAGACAAGAAGTATAAAGTTGTTACTTTTATTTCATTTCTGCTTGTTTTCATTGCAGCTTGTTGTTGTTGGTGGTGGCCCCGAGGCTCTGGAACGCTCTCCCTCTGTCCCTTCGCTGCTCAGATTCTACTGACTCTTTTAAG